CTCCTCCTCCTCCTCCTCTCCTCCTCCTCCTCCTCCTCCTCCTCCTCCTCCTCCTCCTCCCTCCCTCCTCCCTCCCTCCCTCCCTCCCTCCCTCCTCCCTCCCTACCCTCCCTCGCCCTCCCTCCCTCCCTCCCTCCCTCCCTCCCTCCCTCCCTCCCTCCCTCCCTCCCTCCTCCTCCCTCCTCCTCCTCCTCTCCTCCTCCTCCTCCTCCTCCTTCTCCTCCTCCTCCTCCTTCCTCCGCCTCCTCCTCCTCCTCCTCCTCCTCCTCCTCCTCCTCCTCCGCCTCCTCCGCCTCCTCCTCCTCCTCCTCCTCCTCCTCCTCCTCCTCCTCCCTCCTCCTCCTCCTCCTCCTCCTCCTCCTCCTCCTCCTCCTCCTACAGGGGGATTTTGGACGAAAACTAAACATGGCCAAAAAGTATCCCAAAAGGATGAAAAAATACTCCCAAAATCGTCTCAAGACTATTGTTTGAACATGCCTCCTGTAGAGGAGGACAGGCCCGACTGAAGCACGCGTGGAAGAAATGTACACGTAGTATGTAACTACTTCTGGGTGGTGCCGAGAGAACGACGATCCCTGCACCGCGCTGCGTCTGGACTCCCGTCAGGCCCCGCACCAGCGCGGCACGGTGCACAGTCCTCTGGCTCCGAGGGCCGGAGAAACTGTGCGCCGCACCGCTCCCATTGGTCGAGGATCGACGACGCCTCGGGGGACGCCAGCGCGGTGCGGTGCACGCAAGGCGTCCGCAGACCAGAGGTCCCGACCCCTGCCCCAGGGGTAGCTCTGCGTCCTGCACATGTGTTTGATGGTCCTGGTACCCGATGGCGGGCGCCAGGGGTCGAAAGAAGAGACCCCCTAGATGGGGTTCGAGCGGATGAAGTCGGAGGATCGCGACGCATCGCCAATGCATCGGCGACGCATCGGCGACGTCCCGTCGGCGTGGAGAACATCGGGCTCCACATCCACATCGAGCCGCAGCACCGATGCATCGGCGATGCAGCGGATCCTCCGAGCCTGTCTACCCTGGCCCCACCTGGGAGGCCTGCAGCTTTGCGTCGCGGACCCGTGTCTGATGGTCCTTGGGCCCGAGGACGGGCCCCCGGGGGCCGAAGCCGAGGAAGAAACGCTGGCCGACAAAAAAAAATGCCGTCGGAGCTCTGGAGCGGCGGCTGCCCCGCGCGCGCCTTGCGAAGCGCCGGCAGCGGGGCCCAGGTCGGCGCGCCGCCGCTGCTGCAGGGCGCCCTCCGAACTCCGCCAGCGGGCGGCGCGGGGGTCCCTGGCCGGCTGAGCTCAAGAGTGCCCCCATGAAGGGGCCCACAAACACACAAATAAATACACACAAGTAAGGAGATTCCCAATATTACCTAACAGCTTGTTCTGATAGGTTTCTAGTGGTGTCAAAAGAGAGCAGCAGATGACTCCACAGGGGGGTCTGGGCGGGTGCCGGACAGGGTGCCGCAGAAGTCGTTTTAAGCCAACAGTCACACACTTCGTGCTCTTCGACCTCCCAGAACTCTCCATTCCCGGGCCACATTCTGAATGCCCGGAGCCAACTGTAGGCCACTTCGTGCTCTTCGAGTTCCCAGAACTCCATTCCCGGGCCACATTTTGATGCCCGGAGCCAACTGTAGGCCACTTCGTGGTCTTCGAGTTCCCAGAACTCCATTCCCGGGCCACATTTTGAATGCCCGGAGCCAACTGTAGGCCACTTCGTGCTCTTCGAGTTCCCAGAACTCCATTCCCGGGCCACATTTTGAATGCCCGGAGCCAACTCTAGGCCACTTCGTGCTCTTCGAGTTCCCAGAACTCCATTCCCGGGCCACATTTTGAATGCCCGTAGCCAACTGTAGGCAACTTCGTGCTCTTCGACTTCCCAGAACTCCCTTTCCTGGGCCACATTTTGAATGCTGAGGCAGGCTGATGCTGCGGTCGAGGCAGGCTGGGGCTGAGGCAGGCTGAGGCTGAGGCCGAGGCTGAAGGCAGACTGAGGCTGAGGCTGAAGCAGACTGAGGCCGAGGCTGAGGCAGGCTGAGGCTGAGGCTGAGGCAGGCTGAGGCTGAGGCTGAGGCTGATGCAGGCTGAGGCTGAGGCAGGCTGAGGCTGAGGCCGAGGCTGAAGGCAGACTGAGGCTGAGGCTGAAGCAGGCTGAGGCTGAGGCTGAGGCAGGCTGAGGCTGAGGCAGGCTGAGGCTGAGGCTGAGGCAGGCTGAGGTTGAGGCTGTGACTGCGACTGCCGTTGCCGCTGCGACTGTCATCGCGAATGCGACTACGACTGCGAGAACAGCAGAATTCTACAACTGGATTTTCATCTGAATCTTAAGGGGAATGCTTTCAGATATGCTTCTACACATCGCTGTTAGGTTGCTTTGCCGGGATAATTTTCTCATATGTTCAGGGTTTTTGTCTTCCCCCCCACTTCCCATATGTTCCCATATCTTCCGGGGGATCGACGATTCATTGTGTCTGTGTGCTTCTTCCCCTCCTGACCCTGGGCAAGAGTGACCTTTGGGTGCGCGGCCTGCTGCTCGCTGCGTGCGGCGCGACAAGTGGAATCCTGCCTGCGCGGCTCTGCCGCCCCTCCCCCGCCCCTCGAGAGCCGCGCTCTGGGAGGTCCCTCCTCCTCCTCCTCCTCCTCCTCCTCCTCCTCCTCCTCCTCCTCCTCGTCCTCCTCCTCCTCCTCCAGCGAAGGGCCACCCTTGCGCGCAGCTGGCCCGGGCGCTGCAGCGGGGCCCTCACCGGCGCAGCACCGGCGTGGGCGCCAGGGAGCCGATCCACTGCCTCTCCTGCACGGCCGGGGCCCTGTCGAAGAGCACGACGCCCTCCGCGGGAGCGATCCCGGCCAGTGGGCGGAGGGGCGCCGCCGCCGCGCTGGGCGCCGCCACCACGGCGCTCCTCGGCGGGCTGCTGGGCGCGGGCCGCACGGCGCCCCTGGCGGCCTGGCCCTCTGCAGGTAGAGACGGGTAGAAGCCAGGCGGCGGCTCGACGGCGAAGTCGGGCGGGGGCCGCAGGGGCGCCTGTGCCGGCAGCACCTCCTGGGTGTGCTTGACCGCTTCCGGAGGAGGCTCGATGAACGCGGGCGGAGGCCGCAGCGGCGCCTGTGCGGGCAGCTCCCCCTGGGTGTGCTTTGCCGCTTCCGGAGGAGGCTCGATGGACGCGGGCGGGGGCCGCAGCGGCGCCTGTGCCGGCAGCTCCTCCTGGGTGTGCTTTGCCGCTTCTGGCGGAGGCTCGATGAACGCGGGCGGGGGCCGCAGCGGCGCCTGCGCTGGCAGCTCGTGCTTGCTGTGCATCTCCGCCGTGCCCAGCCGATCTGGATAGAAGCCCGGCGGCGGCTCGATGGCGAAGTTGGGCGGGGGCCGCACGGGGGCCTGTGCCGGCACCGCCTCGGTGGTTTGCTCCTCCGCTGCGCTCATCCGCTCCGGGTAGAAGCCCGGCGGCGGCTCGATGGCGAAGTCAGGCGGGGGCCTGAGCGGTGCTGGCGGCAGCGATTTTGTGGGCGGCGTTGAGGTTGTCGATATCACCCCAATGACGTTCAGGCCGACGACGTCCAGGCTCTCTCGTGTGGAGGGCCTCGACGCTCTGTGATGAAAGCTGACCGGCGACCACGCCGCAGCGCCTATCAGCACGAGGCCGACCAGGGCTAAAGCGCCAGTCCTCGGTGTCTGGCGGGTCAGCCCTCGATCGCGTGGCCAGGTCGCTGATCCGGGCCGACCGCGCGAACTGCGAGCTCCGATACGGAAGATCCCGACCACCCGCGCCTCGCTGACGCGTGCCGTAGCCTGGGGTGCTCATCGAAGCTGGTGCCATCGCCCCCCCCCCCCGGGCCCCATCCCGGGCACTGCCCTGCCCAGCTGTCCGAGCCGCGTCCAGACGTTTGAGAGCGAGGAACGAGGAACGGGCTTCCCTGCTGCCCCTTCGGAGGGGGGGGGGGCACAGGAGCACGCGCGGGACAGCTCTGGGAAAATGGCTTGGAGGACCTCGCGCAACTGCTCGCCGTGGGGAACCTTCCCACCGGCGCGGGGTTCCGCGGTCCCGCTGCGGCCGGGGCCCCCGAGGGAGACGTCTGCATGCGCCCTGGTTAGGGGGGGCTGGGCCTGGCTTCTGCACCATCATCGCAAGATTGGCTCAACGCCGCGATCCTGAAGACCGCCAGGCAAGCTGGAAATCCACACAAAAGGTCGCCAAGAGCGAACGCGACAATGGAGGAATGCGGAAAAGAACGGAAGGCAAGCAGGGGAATCTGCCGACCCCCGATTGCCGGGAGTGAAAAGGCAAGTGAGACATTTGGCTGTCCCACTCCCCCATGGCCCCCTTTCCCAGGGTCCAAAATCGCGTGCAAAGTTTGGGGGGCCCCAGGCTCCCAGGGAGGGTTGTCCCCGAGTTCCCCAGCGCACCCCTGGGGCCTATGGAGCTTCCAATTCTACACCCCGTGCGTTCCAGGACACCCAAGATGCCACATCAGCTGGCCCCCAAATACGCCGAAGAGAAATCGCAACAAATCAGGATCGCGCCCAGACCGCCCACGTGACCTCAAAGACTCCCCAGCAGGACTCCACGAGGACACCCACGCAAGGCCCCAAGAAACACAAAACGACCCAATCCCATGGGAAAACGTACTCCGAGTTTCTTAACAAGCGTCGGGAGGGCATCACCCCCGCCGACAGCCCCACATCGACCCCCGTCGCGGGCAGCCACCGCGCGCAGTAGGCGCTCCGACCCCCGTCGCGGCGCGACGACGAGGCGAGGTTGACCCCCGTCGGGGGGGGTACCCCCCACGCTCATTAAGAAGCCCAGAGTACATGTTCAGCACACTCGCGTTTTTGCGTAGTGCGAGCGTCCGCGTCCAAGACGCGGCCCGAGGGACTCCCAAAGATCGCCCCCCAAGTTCGCCCCGAGGCGGCCCACGCAGCCCCCCAAAGCGGTCCCAAGGCGGCCCCACGAGGCGGCCCAAGAGACCCCGATTCGCATTCGCATTCGCGTTCGCACTCTCATCAAGACATGGTCCTTGCATCCTTGGGCCAGAGCGTGGTGGTCGTAACCTATCTATGCGCACACGTGCTGGGGAAAGCAAAGGCCTCGACACGCCCCACGAAGCTGCTCCGAGGCATCCGAAGAGACTTCAACATGCCTCCAAGAGGCGCCCCAAACGCTCCCCCTTCCCAGCAAAAAATACGCAGGCATCCACGACGCCTCCGCCCCACCACCCACAGGCGGTGGCGGGACTTACCCAAAAAAAACCTGCTGAAGTGTCACGCGGTTGTTCCATTACGTTCGCCGCTTGCCTGTTCAGGCTTCCGACCTCACACCACGGCTCATAACATGTCGCACGCTGGCTCAAACCAAACCGTCGCGCCGTGCCGCCCCCCCCCCTCGCATTCATTCTGCGCGTCTTCCTCCTCATCGTCGTGTCCTTTCCCCGTTGCAGCCCCCCAGCCCTTCCTCCCCCGTCGCCTCTTTTGCCGTCTCCGGCGCGCGCTCCCGGTCTTCCTCGTTTCATGCGTCGTCGCCGCCTCGTCCTCCTCCTCCCCCTCACCCTCCTCCTCCTCCTCCTCCTCCTCCTCCTCCTCCTCCTCCTCACCCTCGTTCCACTGCTGCGCGCAAATCCACGCGTGACCCCCATGAGCCCTCGACCTCGGCAGGCCCGCGAACGCACACCACAAGAAGCACAGACGCGCACCGACCCCTACTCCGTGCTGCACGCTGCCTCCGCTTCGCGCCACCGCCCGGCATCGCGCCCGCCTCCACTGCACAGGGTGCGTCATTCGGTGCACGTCAACTCTCCCTGCCGAGCGATGAAAGCGAAATTGCTGGCACGCTCGGGAAAAGCGCTCCGAGGCAGCCTCTTGCCATACGGGCCCGAGCATACAAGCGCCTCCCAAAATCTCGCCGTGAATCCTGTCTCTGCGCCGTCTCCACACCACCTGACCCCCCATCTCCAAACGTCGCCTCCGCTGGTCCCCAGCGACGCGCTCCTGCCACGCCACAAAAAAAAACACCCAGCAGGCCCTGACGAGGCCCTGACGAGGCCAAAGGTCCCCAGGCGTTCCCCAAGAGGCCTCGCCTGCTCCCAGCGACGCGCTCCTGCCACGCCACAAAATAATATTAATAATGATAATCGTAAGAAGATAGTAATAATAAGTAGTATGATTATATTATTAGTAGTATTAGTAATACTAATAAGAATAAGAATAATATTATTAGTAGTAGTAGTAGTATTACTAATATTATTATTATAAAATACCAAAAAAAAAAAAAAAAAAAAAAAAAAAAAAAAAAAAAAAAAAAAAAAAAAACGAAGAGGCCCCGACGAGGCCCAAAAGTCCCCAGGCGTTCCCCAACAGGAGGCCCCAAGCAGGCCCCACCCGTGGACTCTCCCTCCCTCCACTGGGGGGTCGGCGGCATGGCGCAGGCCTCTCGCTCGAAATCATAGGAGCAGAAAGCAGGGGACGGAGGGGGCCAGGGATCCTCCTCCTCCTCCTCCCTCTCCTCCTCCTCCTCCTCCTCCTCCTCCTCCTTCCTCCTCCTCCTCCTCCTCCTCCTCCTCCTCCTCTCCTCCTCATCCTCCTCCTCCTCCTCCTCCCTCCTCCTCCTCCTCCTCCTCCTCATCATCATCATCATCATCATCATCATCCTCTCCTCCTCCTCCTCCTCCTCCTCCTCCTCCTCCTCCTCCTCCTCCTCCTCCTCCTCCTCCTCCTGCTTGAACTCACAGAAATAGAAAGCAAGAGACGGAGGGGCCAGGGAGGCCGGGGCACGACGCGGCAAAACGGGGGCGCAGGGGGGGGGGGGGGGACCTTTGGGAGCCGTGGAGCTCCCTGGAGGCTCGACCCCTCCGAGTCGCTGTGGGCCCGCGGTCCCACTGGAGGCCCCTCCGACGGGTCCCAGGTCGGCGATGCCTCGTCCAGATGAATCGGCGACGTCGGCGATGCAGCGGCGACGTCCGCGTGGAGAGCATCGGGCTCCACATCGAACCGCGTCGCCGACGCATGAGCGATGCGGCGCGATCCCCCAACCCCATCTACTCCGACCCCGTCACCCCGTCCGGGAGGCCGACAGATCAGCGTCGCGGGTCCACTATTGATGATCCTGGAGCCCGATGACGGACCCCAGGAGCCGAAGTCGAAGAAGAAACGCCAGCTGAACAAACAAAAAAAAACGTATCGTCTGAGCTCTGGAGAGACCCCCAGAGAGCGCCTCCTTGGAGGCCTCGAAGGCCCCGGAGACCCCCGAGAGGGCCTCGAGGGCCCCAGAGACCTCGAGGGCCTCGAGGGCCTCGAGGCCCCCTGGAGGCCTCGGGGGCCTCGAGGGCCCCGGAGACCTCCGTAGAGGCCCCCCGGGGAGACCCCGGGAGAGCAGCTCCTTGGAGGCCTCGAGAGCCCCCCCCGCCCCGTCCGCGCAGCGGCCGCCGCGGCGGCGCACATTGCCTCGAAGGCGCAGCTCCTCCAGGGCCCCCCCCCCGCGCTGGAGAGGCCTCTGCGGAGGCCCCCGCGGGGGCCCCTGGAATG